CATTTGTAAATGTATTTTTGTGCCACAAAATGGAAACTAAATTATTAGCTCTTTTTCTAAAGCTAGCAAATTTAGAACAATACAATTGGTGATCTTTCATTCCCCTTTAATTCCAAAAAACTTCTCAGAGTATTATTAGTATCAAATAATGAAGTATTAAAAAAGTGAAGAATGAAGTAATGAAACCAGAGGTTCTTTGAAAATATAGGAAATACCAAACTCTTTTATAATTATATGAATTAAAAAAATCAATCATGATTTTGCAAATTATTCCTACCAATATATGCAGAAATCAATAACAATTTTTCTTATTTATATTTTTAAAAGCATAGAAAAATAGGCTATTTTAAAAATAAACTTTTCAGTTAAGAAAATGATATATTACAGTGGAGTTCAATAGTTGAAATGTCACAGTAATGCTAACTTTAAGGGGTTTATTTTTTCTTTGAAAAAGCTTTCTATAACTTTGTGTTCTGCACCCTCATGTATATGCTAAATTTAAAACAATATCTGTGTGAGAACTACTCTTAATATAATGACATTTATAATGGTTTCAACATACAGTACATCTGGCTGCCAAATCACTCTGGTGGAAGGTAATCCAGTCAATGAAGTACATAGTAAACCTTTTAATGGAAATGGATTTTATATTTTTATTTTATCAGAGGTGAAATCCAATTTTTTTTACTACTGGTTCTGTGGGTGTGGCTTGGTGGACATGGTGTGGCTTGGTGGACGTGGTGTGGCTTATGGGCATGGCAGGGGAAGGATATTACAAAATCTCCATTCCCACCCCACTCTGGGGCCAGCCAGAGGTGGTATTTGACAGTTCTCTGAACTACTCAAAATTTCCGCTACTGGTTCTCCGAACTGCTCAAAATTTCCACTACCGGTTCTCCAGAACCTGTCAGAACCTGCTAGATTTCACCCCTGTATTTTATATAAATTTGTGCCACAAAATGTTGCAGCTAAATTACAGTGTGTGACCTAAAGTAAAAACCTGTTTCTTTCTTATTCCGAGTTGATGTCCAAAATCTAAATTGAAAGTGGGACACTCAAAAAGGTCACAAATGCAACGCTAGAAAGAGCCAGGACAGTCATGTAATTGCTTTGGTAGGATGTTTTGGCAAAGAATTATACAGTATGAACATTTGCTGTTTGAAGTATCTGAAATGCATGAAAAAACCCATTTCTCATTTCATTCAGCATTGCAATCCACTACAAAATGGCACAAAGCTGCCAAAATGAACCCACCAGTGTTATATTACTTTCTTGTGCTGTAAAAATATTACTGTGACATTTCATCTGGTCAACCATCTTAAAGGTTAATTCTGTTTCCCATCATAGTTATTCCTGTAGGTGAACCATTTGGTGCAGTTCCTATTTACCTATTCCAAACAATCCTCAACTGTTTCATTGCTCAGTCTCACAGTTAAGAACATATTGACTTACTGCCTACTCTGCTGTTTAATTCATTTATGTTTAGAGTCAGGCATGAACAGAGAATTTGAAATGTGACATCTGCGGGTTGTAGGGTCATTTGAGGCTCTGACAGCACCAAGGGAAATTCTGACATATAAACTGGTCCTGATTTCTAATCTTCCGTGTTCAAAACACATCAGATATTCTTCCCAGAGGGGCCCAATTGAGCCTAAAGTTTTAAATTTCCTTTGGGTTTGAAATCTTGCAAGGAAGACCAGTTTATTTTCAAAGATTGAAAATAAACCTTGTGTTTCTTTTCAGGTAAAGTTACCATTGCCTCCAGCAAGAAAATTCAAGTAACTCTGACTGAAAAAGATACCTGGAAAAAGACTTAAGAATAATTAATATCCAGGGGATATTGCCAGCAATTTTGCCACTTAGCAAACTTCCATTTGTTCTCTTGTCTGCCTTTGTTGAAAGGCAACTGCATCTGAAGGCCACAGTAGTTGTAGATAATGGGTCATTTTTAGCTGACAGCATCTGACTAGCTTGCCATCAATTAAATATAGTCAAAGCTGGAATAGGAAAGTTACACATTTCTGGTAATAATTGTGCTGAAAGGAGCCAGAAAGTACTGTTCGATAATATTTTTATTTATTTTTATTTATTTTTATATTTAAATTTCAATTAGAATTATTTTAAAGATATTCCATTTTTTATTAGATGTGACCAAGACAGATAGACACAGATTGCCTGAACAGTGACCAGAAATGTTGGTGGGGGAAAAGCTAAAAAGCTTAGATGGCAAGGACAATGTGTAATTAAAACCCTTCCTTTTATTAAACATGTTTTGTACAATACCAACATAAAAAGGAACAGAGCATCAATTGTACGGTCCTCACCTGAGGGTAAGAAGAAGCAATGGGTAGAAATCAGGGGTGAAATGCTACCAGTTCGCATGCGTGGTTCGGTGAACTGTTAGCTTTGCGGCAGCGCAAAGCTCCGCCAACCCACCATTACTTCCTGTTTTTCACCAGGAAGTAACATTTTTTTTATTCTCTGTGCATGCACAGAGGGTCCAAAATCGCATATGATACGTGCGTGTGTGCAAGCGGAGTGCGCACTTCTGAACTGGTAGGGAAGGTAAGTAGATTTCACCCCTGGTAGAAACTAATCAAGGAGAAAAGCAACCTAGAACTAAGGAGAAATTTCCTGATAGTTAGAAGAATTAATCAATGGAACAACTTGCCTCCAGAAGTTGTGAATGCTCCAACACTGGAAGTTTTTAAGAAGATATTGGATAACCATTTCTCTGAATTGGTGTAGAGTTTCCTTAAAAGACCTCCAAGGTCCCTTCCAACTCTTCCATCTTTTGCAGATGTTCCTAGAATTGACCCTAGTATAGATATCATTGAATATTTGTTTTAACTTCATTTTTATTGTTGTTTAATGATGTAATCCTGTCATCGCTTGGGTTGGCCAGAAGTTCACAAATGTAAGAATTAATTTATTAATATTATATGTAATAATATGTTTTTCCAATGCTTTCCTTTAAATTAGTGGCATTCCAGGTTTTGAATCCAAAGTTCTTCCTTTAGAATGCCTTCCATAAATATGAATTCTTATACCATGTGATCAGATTATGCTTCTGTTTAAGCAATCATTGTAATTTGTATAATTCATCAAGTCTGCCTCGTAACTTTTATATGCTGTATTTTATGGCTGTGCTCTAATACCAGTTTAATTCTATTGTGCTATATAGGCTCTAAATAATTTTTGTTGCTCAGGGTTCCATTCTGACAAAGGGCAATAAATATTTTAAGTATAAGTACATCCGTTTTTCAATAGTATTTGTTAAGATTTGGCTTACAAAGTAAGATGGAAATCTTTCTCCTTAACTTAAATTAAAATCGAAGAAACAAATTGTGTATTAGAAAACCAGCAAGCCAAATAAGCATGAAACAAGTGTGGCTAATTCTATCTTCATGGGCAGTTTTCAAGTTATTCTTAGTTGAGTTTTTAGGTCTTTTTAACTCAATATTAATAATAGTATGGTATAATACTACATGCTCGTGCATGGAAAGTCATCAACATTGAGGTTTTGTTAACAATGATTAAATTAACAACTTTTGTGAGAGAAAAGAAATTTATCTACAATTGGAAGCTTTTTGTGGACTTTAAGCAGAAAATGAAAAAAAAACAAAAAACAAATTACGACATATGGATTTCACGATTGTTATTTTTTCATTTGGGGTAAAATGAACACTATATTATAGTATTAAACTAATAGTTGACTGTAATTTTTTCTTATATCCTTGAAGAAAAAAGTTGGAAGTCATTTTTTGTTCCCCTTTCTTTGTTCTTTGTATCTTTCTGCGCCTCCGTTTCTCTCTTTGTTATTTTTCTTTCTGATTGTTAGTTTATCTTCGTTTTTATTTGTATATTTTGTAAAACATTTCATAAAATTATTATAACAAAACCACCCACCCACCCAATGTTTTCTTGAGTATGCTATTGTTTATTTCTGTTTTTCCTGCTGGTGTTTTGACTCACAGATGTTGCTGAGACTGTCCTTTGTGTGACTCTGTTCTTAATCTAAAGAAGCAGAGAATACAGCACTACTAAAGAGGCAGCCGTGAGTATGTGCCTATTAAGAGCATGCATTGTGCTTCTCATGCCTGATGCCACTGCTTTTGAGATAGGCAAGATCAAGAAATAGAAGAAGCACAGTTCCAAGAATATTCTTTATTTCTGTAGAATATGATAACAAAATCTTGAAATCTGTCAAAGTTTCTCTCTGTTCCCTTTATATCAAACAAAATCAAAGTGGAGTTATTTTTAGTTTCTCATGCTTTCCACTTTCTTAGTAGTGAGTTACCGTTTCTCCTCCCTTAACGTTTCATTGCCTTCTTCCCCTTTATTAAAAAGTCAGATCTGTATTCTTTCACAGCCATAAACTCGCGCTAACTCTACTTTGTACCATAAACTTTTATTAATTAAATATTTGAAATCAATTAGCTAGAGATTTCCCTTGGGACTTCAGAAGGGAAATTTTAGTAGGGGAATTCGGGATTTTTTTTTCTTTCTTTTCAGTAGTCTAAATAACGGCACTTCCTAAATAGAGATATCTGCTTCCATACAATTGGTGAATACAAGCATTTCATTTATAAGACTGAAGCAGTGGTGAAATCCAAAATTTTTTACTACCGGTTCTGTGGGCGTGGCTTGGTGGGTGTGGTGTGGTGTGGCTTGGTGGGCATGGCAGGGGAGGGATACTGCAAAATCCCCATTCCCACCGCATTCCAGTGGAAGGATACTGTAAAATCTCCATTGCCACCCCACGACAGGGGAAGGATACTGCAAAATCCCATTCCCTCCCCACTCCTGGGGGAAAGATATTGCAAAATCTCCATTCCCACTCCACTCTGGGACCAGCCAGAAGTAGTATTTGCCAGTTCTCTAAACTACTCAAAATTTCCGCTACCGGTTGTCCAGAACCTGTCAGAACCTGCTGGATTTCACCCCTAGACTGAAGCCTTACTTATTCTTGACAGAAATATCAACAAACAAAGTGATACCTGGTGTATTATTTGTGCTACTGGAAGCTGTTCTGCATATTTTAAAGGTTCCGTGGCTATTTCATCCATAACAGGCCTAAAAAAAAAATCAAATCAGATATTAGAATAACATAGAGAAGAACAAAATCAAACAACATAAATTATCAGTAACTAACATACCTATCCCAAATCAAACTCAAATAATCAGCCATTGAAAAACACACAATCATGAAATAGTAGCCATGTTTCCAAGTTCCCTTTCTCTTTCCATGCTTCAGTATATACAGGTATGTATACATATACATATATCAATCTAAATCCTTCCCACTTCAGTGGGAAAATTCTTGGAACAGCAAGGACAAATTGTATCATCTCTACATAGATAGGGAGCATCACTAATTTTCCACTGAAAATCAATAGTTGCTACTTGCTCAGAAAGATTAACAAAACAATATTTTCAAGGTTTTGTTTTTAAAAAAGAGAAGTAGAATAACAGAAGAAGGGAGGGAGGGACAAAGGCTCAAAACAGTGCAGATCATATTTCTGATGAGAGTTTGTGGTTACTGTTCTCCAAAATAGCACATTCGTCATTAATATATTTAGATAAATTATTAACAAAGCTCTGTTAATTCTTTACAGGACATTCTTTGCAAAATGCACTTCATAAAAAACACTTCTCCTTGAATCATTAAAGCTGCTGCATCATTTCCTAGACATTGGAAAAAACATGAAGCCAAATGGCTGTGCATATACATGCTTGTTAAATAGCTATGTGAAAAGACACATACAGAAACAGCTGAAAAAGCAGTTTCTGTGGAATGAAGACAGATGCTTTTTATGCATTCCAGCGTGTTGCAAAGTCCCTCATTGAATTATTTGCCCAGTTGAAATTACTTAGAGAGTTTCATCTTCATTTATCCATTGAAGTGAAAGCATAAACCTCTCCAAAACATGCCACTTACATGGCAGGAAGAGAAGAAGGCTTTTATTAATGTTGTATTTTATTTGAAACAAACATACTATGTATACAGTTCAACGTATTTGTTATGTTGTCAGCTACATTAAGCAGTATGGTCATATATACCTTTAAAATCCTATATGAAATAAGAAAAGTAATATTGCAATCTCTTTTATTCCCTTGGGACTAAAAGAATTCTAGATTACAAAAACATGTGTTAAAATTTCAAGCTCCTATGTAAGAAAAAATATGCCAAGCGAAAACAGGCAACGAAAAGAAGCCATTTCAAAGTATTATTATTATTATTATTATTATTATTTCAAAGCTTCCTTCCTCCTGCACAGTTTGAGTGCTTTCTGCAAAAAAAAGAGATACCACAATTTCCTTTTAATGGTCAGTTACAAATTTCAAATGTAAAAGCCAATCAGAATACAAGAGTTGGGAATAGTCTGTGTAATATTACTAATCGCTGTAAGATTTCTGCATAATATCTTAAATTATTATAGGGAATCTGCATTCTCTTTGTGTGTCAACTGTGATTACCCTACTAGGGGCCAAGATCTGCATTCTTCATCTTTATTAGGAAACAACAGCATGGTGTTTATGTAAATCAGCTGAGAATTTCTTGAGCCAGGAATTTCTTCTACAACAGAAAGAGAATGGAAAACTAAAGGTCCAGCATGTTGCCTAAAATTAAAGCCTTTTGATATATTTTAACTATATAGTATTAGTGCTAGACCTTGCTGATCTTTTTTTTTCTAGTGAGGTTGCTAGGTAACTGCTAAGTAATTTTCCCAGTGGGAAATGGCATACACTGTCTCTCCTACTGAAATGATCCCAACTGAGCCAAAAGAGTCTTCTCCAACTTTCCTACCTCCTGATATACTGAACTAAAACTATAATTACCTCAGGCAACGTAGATTAGTTACGTCTGACTCTGAGTCAGAGAGCCACAGATAAACTTATTTTGATAACCTGAAAACTGCATTCATTGCAATTATCTATGGGGTATGGAATGGATGGAGGGGTAGATGGTTGGACAGATGCAATTCGCTTCGTTCTGATCTCAAAATCAACATTCATCCTGAAATAGCAGAGTTACACCATCAGCACCTCACATCACTCTGTCCTGCACCAATTATAACTTATGAATCCTCTCTAAGGCTAACCTTAGTGCATTGGAATAGTCCAAACAGGAGGTTATCATGATTATTGACTGAAACTATCCATTCATGTTGTAAGAGAACTACTGTAAAAGAGTTTCCTCTTTTCCCACATGTAGATACTACTTTTGAGCCTTGAGCAGGATACCATAGCTAATGGTATTGAATGCCCTAAAGGGTATTAATAGAACAAAGAGGATGCACACCTCCCATTTAAGCCTTGGTCCTTGTAAAAGTCATTAGAGTAACCAGTGCCATTTCTGTCCCATGACTGTACCCGAATTGCAATGGTTTCATGTAAAGTTAAAAAGTGGAGAGAGAGAATCAAATTCCGAGGAAACCCACAAAGGAATGGTCTCCAAGTCAGCATCTCCTCCCTCAGAGTCTTGCTCCAGGAAGAGTCTACTATAAAACATTCCAAATCTACAGTAAAATATTTTCTCTAATCTCTAGTTCTTGCAGACAGTCTTGAAGAACATTAGACTCAGTGATACTGAATACTTCTTTCATGGCTATCAACATCATCCTCGCCTGAAGTGAGGCCATAATAGTCTTCTGCATCCCTGTGGCTAAGTCCTCTTCAGGCCTAGAGAACATATGGTCCAGCCCAAGATAACAGAGATAATTCCACTCTATTATCTGCATCAAAGTCTAAGTCGATCAAGTCCCAAATATCATGATGACACATTGCCCAGTCACTAGTGGCCAGATGCAAAGAATCAGTACCATTTGTAATGTTGCAGCATAGGTGATTTATTTAAGACTATATACAAGAATCTGGTAAATTGAAGTTCAACACTAGATTGGTGCCAGATAAAGGACAATGGAATTCAGAAGGGGTTGGACTCTGAAAGCTTGTGGGAACACAATGATTCTAAACTGATGCCATGTTTAACTCCACCTGCTCTTCCCTACAGTCACTCTATCAGATTCCTATAGCTACTGCACCCCTGGAGAATCAAGACTATGGCAAATCTCAGCAACCTAAACTGCAAAATCTGATATAAACTGGTCTCAGCAGCCAGATAAAGACCTACTGATCTGTCCCCAAAAGGGAATAAGCATCTCCAACTAATTCTCCTGATGCAATAAGACAGAAATAATTATCTTTCACCATTTTTACCTTCATTTTTCTTTACAGACTGCAATTACAAGATGGAGAAAAAACTAAGCTCTCTCAAGTAACATTCCTGGTGAGTTTAAAAGGTTCTGTCAACAAGCCAAAAAGGGGGGGGGGGATTTTCATTCTGAAAATGGCAGTTGGCTATAGTTGCTCATAACATGTAAAATTGCCATCTACTGAAGAATAATGGAAAAATTTCTCTTTTTTTTTTCCAATTTACTTAGTAGAACTGCTTGCATTTGGGATATAATCAATTCCCTTCTCTATGTGCACTGTTATTTACTTTCTACCTGCTGTTAATACAGTATTTATTAACAAGATGAGAAAAAAAATATTTATTAAAAATAAAGCTACTGTTTCAAGACTGCTACATTTTACAGAGAGCCCTATCAAAATGAAGGTGTCAATTTACAGTCTGCAAACAGCATGAAAGTAGCACTTCGCATATCCATTAGTAGTAACTAATGAAGTTCTATTTATAACTTTGTCCAACGTTACTGAAAGTAAACCACTCAATTTACTTCAAGGATAATTGCTATGGAAAACAAGTGATCTAATGTACCCTCGATTTAAGTTTTTTTTTTTTTTTCCAGACAGCATGCTGGCTTAAAACACAAGTTTATGCAACACAACTTTGCTTTGGTGAGAGTCAAATTTAGTTCTTCTTTACAGCTGATAAGCGTTTTCAATCAGATGAGCATCTCTTGCTGACAATGCTATAAGAAAGGAAGGTTTGCTTATCTTGGAAGAAAATTGCACAACCAAGTGTTTGTGCTGCTGTTTGAAAACCCTCTAGAGGTGCATTTTAATATAGCAAGTGCTCTCTAACAACCCAAAGACTTACAAAAGGTTTAAGAAATTTGAGAGCTATCAGAGATGAGAGAACCATAATTCCTTAGAATGCAGCATGCCTCACTTGAGAAAGCATAGTTGATTTTTAATAATTCAGGACCTACAGTAGATCATATCTCAGTAAATAATTTGTGTAACATTTTTATAAAATTAATGATGATATACTTGCTCTGAAAAACAATGCTGAGATTTAATGAAGTATTTGTACATCTTTTGATCACTGTTCGATGCTGCTAGATTTTTTTCCTGAAGCTTCTTACTTTGCAGTTTATCATTTCTTTTTTTTTTATTGAAAAGGTTTTCAAATACAAATTTTTCCCCCTTTTTCCCCCCCCTCCCCCCCTCCCTAACCCCCCCTCCCCACCCTTCCCCCCCTGTGACTTCTTCGTAACAAAAAAAAACCCTAATTCATAACAGATTACTTACTCCCTCCTCAAAATACTGACCTTTACTTACTAAAAGTATTATAAATCCCCCTTTATCCATACATTTCAGAAAAGAAGAGAAAAAAAACAAAAAAAAACAAACACATTATACTATAACTATTATAAAATAACTTCTAATTTAGCATAATAGTGTTTTATATCTATACATTATTGCAACAATTCAAAACCACCTTCCACTTTAAAACTATACGATAAGTCCTACTTTAATAACATTTCAAAGCGGGCTCCCCATAAAATCTAATTTAACATTTATTCCACTCTATCCATTTCCTCCACTCCCCTAAATGTATCACTTAAAAATCCCTTTTCTTAAACTAATCAGTCTGTAGCTAGCTTATTCACCCACTGTCTTACAAATTTACCATACACAACAATTCTTGATATCTTTAATTCACTGCCCACACTACTTAAATATATATATATATATATTCCATTATATCTAAATAAAAAAAGAAAAGACAATAACTTTAAATTTATAGTCCATATAATATCTTCTTGAAGTCTTTCCACTGGATTGTTAAAACCAACATCCATAATAGGGTAACATAGCTTGCT